ACTAAAAGGGGAAGGAAATGGGTGGAAAACACCGAAACTTTTACCCCTCTAGTTTATTTGGTGATAATTTTGTTATTATTCCATTGAAGTTTGAATTTGCAATGGTTTAGTCTATTGTTTAATTTCTGCTTCTGCTGTTGCTATATGTCTATGCAAATTGTTTGAAATTACTGACTCCAGAATCAGTTCTCATTTTTTTTAAACTCTTGTTACTTTTCAAGTAGAGAAAAGTAGACCAATTCAAAGTGTTTGTTCTGTAACTAGCCATAATAGTTCTTTTCAGGACCCTTGTCATCTTTACTCGTTCAGGCGATTTAAACTTTGTTCTTTTCATCACTTTAGAAAGGAAAGCAACTTGTTCAGCAGCGTCTGTTGAAAATTCTTTATTTTGTAAACATGTATTCGTATTTTTGCGTTTGTCACCAACATGACCTCTTGTTCGTGTATTTTCTTTGAGTTTCGATGTTTGTTTTATTTACTTACTCTTCCATCTTTATCTTGATCACAAATTATGCCTGGTACATATTTATTTTTTATTGCGCAATTTGATCTTTCCAATTGAAAACCGTTTGATTTATCTTTTTCTGCTAAATCTTCTGTTTCTTTCCTCTATATTCTATTTGGATCATTGACTTAGCCGTGAGATTACCTATTTTTGGTGAATTTATAGACTGCAGAAGAAAACAAAAGTTCCCTTTCTTCAGCTGTCATTCTTTTCAGTACTGGTATTTGACTGATGTGGTCCATCTACTTGGCTTAAATTCATTTGTTTAGATGGAACTTTTTCTCGCTTGCATTGTATTTCAATTAAATTGGTTTATTATTCTTTTAATCACCTGACCAGTTCGTTTCTACTTTCAGAAAACTTGCTCGATATGTTTGGCTTCAATGAAGAGAGGAGACGGGCATGCTATATTCACTGCTGAATGTTCACATTCATTTCACTTCCAGTGTATTGCTTCAAATGTAAAACATGGAAATCAAGTTTGCCCAGTTTGTAGGGCCAAATGGAAAGAAATTCCTCTGCAGTGTCCCAGCCTTGATCCTCCCATTGGGAGGGCTAGAGTCAATCCTGTCGACTGGCCCCAAAATAATGCACTAATGACTGTAATACGTCGTTTACCAACAACCCGCCCAACTGCCAATCGGCATATTTCCCCATTATTTCAGTTTCCCGAGCCAGCCGTCTTTGATGATGATGAATCTTTGGGTAATCAACTCAACTCTACTGAGGAAAGTGCTTCAGATAAGAGTTTGATAAATGGTTGTGGCAACAGGAAAGTGAAGATTGAAAATTACCCTGAGGTTCTGGCAATCTCAAGGTCTAGTGCTTCAGATAACTTCACTGTGTTAGTCCAGCTGAAGGCTCCTGGTTCAGTTTCAGTACAAGATCCAAGTGGAAACCAGGTAAATTTGTCCCAGGTTTCCCAAACGCCTCGTGCTCCTGTTGACCTTGTCACCGTTCTTGACATAAGTGGAAGTATGGCTGGCACTAAACTTGCACTACTAAAACGGGCTATGGGTTTTGTGATACAGAATCTCGGTCCCAATGATAGGCTGGCAGTAATTGCCTTCTCTTCGACAGCTCGTCGTCTCTTCCCTCTTCGTCGGATGTCTGAAACAGGACGGCAGCAAGCACTGCAAGCAGTAAACTCCCTGGTTGCAAATGGAGGGACAAATATTGCTGAAGGCTTGAGAAAGGGTGCCAAGATAATGGAAGATAGTAGGGAAAAGAACTCAGTTGCTAGTATAATTCTGTTGTCTGATGGTCAAGATACATATACAGTCAGTAGTACTTCTGGTAGTAGCCGGCAGCAACCTAACTACAAGTTGCTTCTGCCTTTGTCCATTCATGGTGGAAATAGTTCAGGGTTTAAAATACCGGTACATGCCTTTGGGTTTGGTGCCGATCATGATGCTTCATCAATGCATTCGATATCGGAGATTTCAGGAGGAACGTTTTCTTTTATTGAGACAGAAGGTGTCATACAGGACGCTTTTGCTCAATGCATTGGAGGCCTTCTCAGTGTTGTAGTCAACGAGCTTCAGGTAAGTATTGAGTGTCTTCACCCGGGTGTCTACCTTAGCTCTTTAAAAGCAGGAAGCTATCCGAACCGCTTAATGTCTGATCGACGCATGGGAACAATTGACGTTGGAAATTTATATGCTGATGAAGAGAGGGATTTTCTGGTTTCAATCAATATCCCTACTGAATCTTCATGTGCAGAAACATCATTGTTAAAGGTTAAGTGTGTATATATGGATCCTTTCACAAAAGAAAAGGTTTCAGTCAGAAGTGAAGATCTTAGGATAAAGAGACCTGAAAAGGCTGGACAAGAGAGTATTTTGATTGAAGTGGACAGGCAGCAGAACAGGCTCCGAGCAGCTGAGGCAATGGAACAAGCGCGAGCAGCTGCCGAGAAAGGAGACCTAGTTGGTGCAACTTCCATCCTAGAAAACTGCAGAAAGCTGTTGTCAGAGTCAGAGTCTGCTAAATCTCATGATCGGCTTTGTGTGGCACTTGATGCGGAGCTCAAGGAGATGCAGGAAAGGATGGCAAGCAGACATGTATATGAAGCATCAGGAAGGGCATACGTCTTGTCAGGGCTGAGCTCACACTCGTGGCAGAGAGCAACAACACGAGGTGACTCTACAGATGGTTCAAGTCTTATCCAAGCCTATCAAACCCCTTCCATGGTCGATATGGTAACTCGCTCACAGGCTACGTTACTGGGAAGCCCTTCAGCTCAAAGACATGTTCGGCCATTGTGGTCATTTGCATCACAACCAAAGCCTAGGTAACAGTTACATAACCAAAGCCGAAGATGTCACTTCTGCTGCTCTTTAAGTCCTTCCTCTTTCTATTACTAATAGCCTTTGGAGTGGAGTGGAGTAAAAGGAAGGATGAGAAGTTTTTGAATATCCGCATATTGATGTCTATGCTTGTAAAGGAATAAACTTGGTGAAATGTGCAATATAGTTTTGGGAAATGGGATGTAAGGGCACACTAGTTAGGTTCTTGTGACTTCATTTTGGTCCTCCCTTGTTTTTGCTGTTTTTTGACTTCATTTTGTTGGGGGTGATGTATATAAGGTGAGATGGCATATATCTCTGGTTATAAGTTTGTAACCGTGGGATTTTCTTGGAGAACTGTCATTTATGTATAAAAAATCATGCAAAATGATTCTTTTCTTCGACTTTCTTGATTATTCCCTCTTCTTGCCTTTGCTTTTAAGTTTCAATCAAGAAGCTTTTGCAGTTTTGCGAAAGGCAGTTGAAAAATGAAAGTGGAATCAGCACTGATTGACTTCAAGAATTAAATTGTTCATCTTGTCTGGGGTCAAAGAATAAACATGAAAAGGTCTTTTCATGCTTTTATGTCTTGCTTTAGTTCGGGTGGTGGAAAAGGGTAACTTTTATTTTGAATTTTTTTCTCCATTGTAGAAGATAAGCTACATCTGTGAGGAAGTAAAAAAACACAGAAAAGTGAAAAGCTACTGGACAAAGTAGGAAGATTTTGTTTGGAGAGCCCATAAGACTTTATTTCGGATTTTGAATCCCTATTTATTTATTATTTATTTTTTGCCCAAGAAAATGCTAACCGGGGGGTTCAAGTTTGGTCGGGGGCCGTTTTGAATTTTTAAAAAACTTCTGGGGCAAACTTAAACATAATAAATAGGGTCTAATTTTGGCTCCAAACCAAACAGACCCTAAACAGCTATTCTCTTTCTCAACAGAAATATTCTGGTTCTTCAAGATCATTTAAGTTTGGAATGAAATTCAACATCATAATCACGATAAGCAGTGACTAGAAGTAATTTGTTGGAAGTTTCACTTCTTCCATTTTCCTAGAAAGCAGCGATTTTACAATTGAAGTGATATACAAGTGTGGAGCCCTAATTTTTTCATTTTTCTGATTTTTTGTTGTTCAGTGTACATTTATGCATTAGTATTATTTTTCTTTCTTATTTGCACACTTTTTATGTCCATTGTGCATAACAGTCATGACAAGAACGAAAAATAAAAGTAAACGGGATGAAATTGGAGATGAAAATAGTTTCAGAAACAGTATATCGGTAGGCAAGAGCAATGGACATTTAACGAATAATAAAGGTCGAGATTAGATGACGAAGAAATAGTTTTTGTGTGTGTCTGAGTTTAGTAATAAACGAAAAAAGATTATTATACACCGATAAAAGAAGAAAATGATGCTGATGATGAGGGAGATGAAATTGTTGTTGATGAAGAAGTAGCAAGGGAAAATGATGGTGATAGTGAGGAAATTCAAAAATATTTTGAAGCAGCTAGACCTTATAACAGAGTTTAAAATTAGTAGTTGTTTTGGCAACTTTGTAAAACTGTCAAAATACTGATTTACATTCAGTGGACAAATGGTTCATTCACTTCTTCTTCGTTAAGTTAGAAACAGTGGGCGTAAGCAAGAAATGCGAATAAATAAATTTAATTATTATATTTCTAAACTAGAAATAGCTTTAGTCTATTGGTTTCGTTGAGTCAAAAGGTCCTGAGTTCCATTCTACTTCATCAAAATTTTTAACCACAGACAACTCTCTCAAATAGTTGCAAAAAAATACATGCTAGTTGAGGTTCGAACTTGACTTCTTAGAGCAAAATCATGTACATAACTGAAGCACCAAGAGACAACCTGTGTCAAGTGGTGTTATTTTTTCCTACTTATCCACCTCCTCACAATGCTAATAACTATTTAGTAAAATTTTCCGATGAGGCAGTGTCGCATGACACCGCTTTGTTAAACGTGCATCGCAACTGGTTAGAAAGTACGGGAAGAAGCGTGAGATGTGGTTCATAGAGGAGGGAGTTCCCTCTTGTTTTGGGCCGAGGGAGTTTGCGCTGGTAACAAGGTTGAATTGCGGGTAATTTTCCAAGGAGAAGAAGCTATTAAAAATCCATAAAAGAGGAGAGAAACTAGAGAACTTTGTTGAAATTTCAAGGCATGAACCCCAAATGCTCACTGATGCTCCTGAAACCGACTTTATTATAATACTTCAATTCGATAAAAATTAAGCAGTAGCCAAAGTAAAATTGCAAAACAAGAAACCAAACTAATTATAGAGCTAATGATCCGTTCCAGTAAGTCGCCATAAGTTAGCCTTTTGCCAATGGTCAAATTCTAAATGAAGATCAGTGCAATTGATGTCAGTGCCATAGTCAACATTATGCTGACGCTTTGCTCTGCAACCCCACTGGTGCCTGTAGTTGTAGTACTAGAATTCTTGGCGTCTGAACCTGCTGAACTAGAAGAGGAAGCTGGAGTTGAGGTTCCAGATGAAGTAGAAGTGGAATCTGCATCAGCTATTTTAAAGATCTTTGCATCTGGTGAATCTGCTGGGAGCTTCAGTATTGCTGCACACAAATAATTAGCCATTCAAGTTAAACAATATTCTTTAAAAGACTCTTACATTTCTCTTTTTGAATGGAAAATGAAAGGTTAAGGGCTGTTGCAAGAAAGTCTTTGGAGGAGTGATTTTATCCTCGTACAACTGACATTAGTTGTGTGAGGCCTCTTTTTATCTTACACATTTTGGTCCACAAAATTCCGGGACCACAAAATTTAGGCCTCACACAACTAGTATCACACAAACTTCATGCTTTTTACAAACACCCCAGAAAGTTCAGGGAGTTAACTTCCCAACAATTTTCCTTTTCTTAGCTTTCAGACGTTACACAAGAATTACTCTCTCAATTCCAATTTATGTGGCAATATTTAAGGAGTTTTAAAAAAAAAGAACTTTTTTATACTTGTGGTTTAAAACATACCATAAATAAATATTCTTTTGGCTATAAAATTGTATGTCATTAAGAGTAAAATAGGAAGTTTAAAATTAAACTATTTCTAAATATAAAAAAGGTATCGATCATTTGGAACCGACTAAAAATGATAGTAAAAAAAGGGGGAACCCAGTGCATTAAACTCCTGCTATACGCGGGGTCTGGGGAAGGGCCGGACCACAAGGGTCTATCGTATGCAGTCATACGCTGCATTGATGCAAGAGGCTGTTTTCACGGCTCGAACCCATGACCTCCTAGTTACATGAAAGCAACTTTACCAGTTACCCCAAGGCTTCTTCATTATGACACAAAAAATGGGACAGTGAGTAATAGGCTAGTGAAATAAGAAGGATTAGTTACATGGGCAATCAGAGACTTTGGCATCAATATTACAAGCAGAGGGCATTTGAAGAGCCAAAGTAGTATTGATAGGGAGGCCTAAAGAGGGATCAGTGCTCTCTTTGATAAGAACACAAAGGCATTTAGGCTTAGCAGCTCTAACTTTCTGAGTATCCTCACAACATTCAGCAGTAGGCTTCTTTGCTGTGCCACTCACATATGGAATGCATGCTGCTAGAGTTGTGAGTTGGTCTGCGCAGTCTTTTTCGTCGTCTTCTATAGTAGCCATTGCTGCTACTGCTAATGTCACAACTAACATGCAGACCATTGATAACTTCTTCATCTTCTCAATGTCAACTTTCTTTCAACTCTTTGCTTTGTGTTCTTTTAGTGTAAGAGTATAGTATTGCTTGTATGCTATTCTCTGTGTAGTGTATTCTTTTGGTTACAACCTGGTGGTTTATATAGAGTTACTCTAAGACAAGGTATTTAATTCTTGCTCCCCACCTTAGGCCACATGTAATATAAGTGAATGAGTGTAGTTTCTAAGAAGGAGGACGTTCCATGCTATGCATGAAAATAAACTGGTTTTAAGATTTGGACACCGATTATCCATAGATTAGGTTGACCTACAATAATTAATAACCTCTAGTAATTAAACCTTAGATAACTTGAAAATTCTTTACGCTAACAGTGTATATCATATCATACTATACTATAAGCATGAAGAATAAATGTTGAATTTGAAAGACCAAAATAACACTACAATTTTATTAGACTTTTATGCCCTTAAAAGTTATATTAATAATACCTTCAATATTAATAATAAAAGTTAGTTTTGTAACATTAAATTTAACTTGGGATTATCAAAGAATTTATTAAGGTACATTTATCTAAATACTTCACTTTACAAAGATAAACTCTTTAACTTCCGATGTGTATAATAATTTTTTTGAGCTAACATTTACATTTCTTACATTTTAATTATCTTCTCCTTCTATTTTTTTTAGCTTAAATATTCAAATTGTTATGATTTCTAAATGCAATTCTTTTCTTATAAATGCAATCATGATTCAAAGCATTTTACCATCCATGTACAAAACGATACAATTTTTTCAGTTATGTACTAATTATTTGGGATAGACGCGCAACGCGTGCCCAAGGACTAGTACAAAATAAAAAAAAGAGAGAGGCTAGATTTTAACAAATACTATTGCTCCCTCCAGTTCACTTTAATTGATTTTTTGGTCTTTTTTGTGGTTCATAATATTTGATTTTTCAAATATAAAAAAGGAATTAACTTTTTTTTTCTAAAGTAACCATTGAAGTAAAAAAAACCTAGGAGTATTTGTTATATTTTCAATCAACCAATTAAGGTTAATTTGGTTAATTTTATTATTAATTAGTGCTAAAAGATAAATTCTTTAATATATGTTAAAAGCTAAAAAAATCAATTAAATTTAGGGTTTAGGTTTATCAATATAAAGTAATTCGTGTGAGTAGCCATAATTACACCAAATTAGACTGAGAACTTTTCAAATTTTGAGAAGGGCTGAGCTGTATTTATAGCCTGAGACAGTAAGAGATAACAAAATTTATGATACACGCTTGGAGAAATGTAATTGCGCTTTCCAAGAAATGACAAATTTAAGCGTAAATGTCTGGTTTTTGGATTCCCAAGAATTCACCATAACCTCCAATTAATCCTCAGGGTTAATTTATCTCTTCTGCTCCTTCCCACAAAGAATTACTCTCGAGATTAAATTTAAAAAGAGCTTATTTCATATTTGGTTAGAAAAAAAATTAAGATATAATTAATTTTGAGATTAGTTATTTCGCAATTATAATATTTTTTTATTCTATAAAAAAGTGAAATAACTAATTTCGGGATAATTTTTTTTCTAACCAAACGACGATGGTTTGCCATTCATTGATCAAGTGTTCTCACCCTCGTTGAAAATCAAAAACAGTGATACTCTATTATTTATTGTTATTTAATGATTTTGCACTGCGCACTGCAAGTCTACCCCCATTATAAGAACGAAGGTAAGAGACATGGAATATTTTGTAGGCGGGATATTCAAATCGAATCGAAAAATTTCATCAAATCGAAAAGTCAAACTAAATCGACTGAAAAACAAAAAATTATACGTCACATCAAGCATTACACTGTATTTATTATTCGTAGCTATACTTTCAGCAAATTTACCATTCGTAGCTATATTTGAATTTTATAGCAAATCAATAAAATAAGAAATTAATTGTTTTGAACTGAAACAATATAGCAACAAGCTCTTATAGCTCACTTGGTTAGAGCGTCTGCTTAGCTAGCGTATGTCTTGACTTCGAATCTCAACAAGAACATTTTATTTTTTTGTATTTCTGTATTCGCCTTAGTTGTATTCGTTACACGAACAAATAGAGTCGATACAGGTTATATCCTTTGTATATATCCCTATATACAGGTGATACAAATTGTATCCTTTGTATACACCCTTATATTTCGTCTTGATTACAGTTGATACATATTGTATTCGTTGTACGAATGCATTCGTTTGGCGAACAAATACAGTAGACATGGGTTGTATTCGTTGCGCATTTGAATACAAACGATACAAGTTAATAACAATTGAACATTAGCTACGAATGGTAATTAGACAAATTATAGCTATTATGTTCTATATTATAGTGGTTTATGAAAATTCTTCATTAAAACCCTCAATTAGGTTTGGTTAGATTTGGTTTGGTATTAAGTAAAAAAATCTGAACCAAACCGACATATAAATATATAATTTTTATATACTTCTAAGACTTTATATAAAATTTTCTTTAAATAACGTCTAGAAATATTTTGGATCCTCTCATGAGATGTACGATTTAATAGAACTATGAAGTGCACTCATTGTTATTTACTTTAAATAATAAGTTTTATCACTTTCTTGTCAAGTGCTATTGAAATGCGTCAATCATCTCTTTGTTCTTCCATATTCATATGTCAAGATTACTTATATCTTTTTCGAATTTGAAATGACATTTCAATAATTTAAAATTAAATAAAATATATCATTATTTAGGTGGCATATTAATTTGTATGTTTAATTATTAAATTTGATTAATCTTGAAAGCGTACATCAAGAAAAAATTATTGTTAGACGAGTAAGAAAATAACTATCATGTGTATTAAAATATTCTCCCATAAGAATATTGTAATAGATCATATGTTTGTTATTTTTTTCAATTTTTACCAAATATATGATCACTTATCAAAACTTTATCTATAACTTTAATAAAGTAAGATTGAAAAAATATTCATGTGATAAAAAATACGAAAAATCCGACAAACCCAAACCAATCAAAACCGATATAGTTGGTTACACCCCTAGTTGGCAGAACCTTACAACTCTTTAATTTTTGAACCCCTAATTATTTTTTGTTACGACCCAAATCTCACAAGGTCGTGATGGTGCCTAGTCCAACCCGTTAGGCAAATCAACCAAAATAAACATAACTCAAACTATAGATCTTCCAATAAATAATGAATTAAGAATATGAAATTTAACGCAAGCTACCCCAAGTACTAGTGTTACAAGTCATGAGCAACTAAGATTAGGATTTTAGCATAGATATGAAAAAAAAATACATTATTTAATTATACATAAACAGAAATTAAGTTCTAAACTACCATGAAAAAGATGGCAGCTAATGACTGGAATGCTAATGTATTCAATGCTCGCCCTCGAACTCCGCAACAGCTCAGCAAAAAAATCTACATGCAAGGTGCAGAAGTATAGTATGAGTACAACCGACTCCATGTACTCAGTAAATATCAAGACTAAACTTAACAAGTAGTGGCAAGTTTTGGTCATAAGATACTCACTTTATATAACTTGTGCAGTTCATAAGTATATACAATAATAGAGAAACAACCAAGATACAACGGATCTCAATAGTAATGTCACGACCCAATTCCCCCTATAGGTCGTGATGGCGCCCAACATTACTGCTAGGCAAGCCAACCGGGAACTAACTCTGTGATCCTCTCTTTTAAAGATTTAAAATAGTTGATTTTTAGTTTATGCGTAAATAAGAAGTAAGAGTTTAATAAAAATGCAAGATCAAAATTTTCAAGCAAGTGAGATAAGTAAAATAACCCCAAACCATCAAGTGTCTACTAGCATAAATCTCCAAGACCTGGTGTCACAAGTGTATGAGCTACTAGTAGAATATACAAAAGAGTACTACACTACTGTCCGAAACGAAATAGACAGAAAATAAAGCAAAGGAAGACTCAGGTTGCTACAGAACGGGCTCGGAAGGCAGCTCACCACAAAGTCTCGTAGTAGTCAAGGATACGCGCCTGACTGATATCCAGATGCACCTTCCTCAGATCTTGCACATTCAGTGCAGAAGTGTAGCGTGAGTAAATAAACAACATGTACGCAGTAAGTATCTAGTCTAATCTCAAAGAAATAGTGATGAGGGGCCGACTTTGACACTTACTATGGGCCAACAATAAAATATATAAAATTCTAATTAAACATGGGATATATAAATGACAATAGAACTCGAAATCAAGCAACAAATAAATAATCATTTCACCGATAGTAAGTACCAAATCAATTTCCCTCATTTAACCATTTAACCTCTCAAGCCAATAAAATAATATCAATTATAATTGGGCTCCCAGTATTATTACGCACGAATTATGCCGAGGACGTACGGCCCAATTCAAAATACATATACTGTGTGCACTGCCGAGGGTCGAACGACACGAACCATAGATGCATCTATTAACCTGCCAATGCGAATGGCCCGCTCCCATGAGAGTAGTGAAAATTTACCCCGCTCGCGGAATATACTTGTGACACGGTTGAACATAGATTTCTCAAGTTATCATAATATCCCTCAACTCTTTTCAAAACAAGAAATTCAACTGGAAACTTTTAAAATATTGAAATCCTCAACCTCCGCTCAATTCAAGACAATTAATAAGCATAATTAATTAACGGTGTCAACAAAGCATGTGTAAACGTAAACTACCCAGACATAAGCATAATTAGTAGCTATGTACGGACTCTCATCAACTCGTGCGTACGTAGCCCCCATAAATAGAAGCACATATTAATTAAATTCACCAATGGGTTTAATTCCCTCTTACAAGGTTAGAAAAGAGACTTATCTCGTCTCAAAGCCTACTTTCCGGTCCAAGATTGTGCTTAAACCCTCAATTTGGTGCCAAACAACTTGAAACTAATCAAATGTTATATAAAATAGTTAATACATGCTCAAAAGTTCATATCCTAATTATTAAAGTGATTACCCAACCCCAATTAAAAAATTCTTAAAATTTACCCCCGGACCCACGTACCTGGATTCCGAAAATTTTTAGAGGAAATCGTCACCCATAACCTTAAGAACTCAAATATACAATTTTC